AATATTTAAATAGTTATTAAAAAAATTATATTAAAAAAACCAATTCCAAAAATTTATGACTCACACTGTATATATATATAAAACAAAAAAAAAAACCTTAATAAAAAGAAACCCGAAAAAAAAAATAAACCGAAAATTTTGTAAAAAGCTTAATTTTAAATATTCGCATATCTTATTTTTATCATCCGTATATAAATATATATCGGACTTTAACTTCTCAGATTTTATAGTCACACAGAATAGCGTTTTAGTTGATTGTTCTACCATCCCTTTTAGGGGTTGATGGAATCACGTTTTACAGATAAAAATTAAAAATGATAATAGGATACTGAAAATGTCTGCTATAATTTTTATTCTCTATCTGAAATATTTACGACTTTTGCGAATCTTTGATTCTTTCTATTTCTTGTAAACATGTGATTACATTCTGTTCTATAACTTCTTTTGAAGAATCCTCGAAGTTATTTTTCTTATTAGCATTCAAGGGCTTCTTGTGAATACATTTTCTTTTTTCCTTAAATATTTCTTGGATTTTCTCTTCCATTATAATTACAGAAAGCGAAAATCGCAACCTTTCCGGAAATTTGGTTACATGAGGTATTGAAAACAATCCCTTCTTAAATTTTAAAGCCAAAACCAACACTGTTCTTATTTCAAACTTTTTGACTAGATCTTTTTCATACTCGAAATCTGCATAAATTGTTGTTGGTACTTTATAATCACTATATTTCTTTTCCTTTTCCTAATTATCAAATGACTGTTAATATAATTAGTACTGATATTTCGTGTTATATGAGTTTGTACAATAAAATACCTCATTATTTAAACAATATCTCCATGAAAATCCCGTTCCTCCTCTTTTAAGCGTTTGGATAGTGACAATTGGAACTTTATCTTCACTAATTGTTTTCTCTCTGCCGAAACTTATGCTTACCTTAGGGGTAATTCCATCGACACCTGCTGACGCTTCTTTTTTCACTAATTTGGTGTATTTTTGCGTACCCATCTCTTGAAGTGGGATAGATTCATATACAATATTGATCAAATTATATTCATTACCTTGCGGGAGGGTTGAAATGGCTGTAAAAGCAACCTTGGCTTCAACTGGGTAATATCCTACAGCCTTGAAATCTTTTGATTGATCATATAGCATGTCTCCACCACACAGAAACATTTCAGGGATCTCAATTTCTAGCCTGTCGTCTTCGTTTTGGGGATGCTCTAGCCGCAAATCAAACTGAATTGTGGCCTCTTGGATAACATTTTTATCGCTTATTCTTGCGTAAGCGCTCGCTTTAATGTATTCATTAAATCTTACGCCGTTTGTTTCACTAGGATCACCCCCGCCGTCTCCGTCACTTTCTTTTCCATTATCTTCATTTTTTTTATTGAATTCCTCTCCTTCTTTATCACCGTCATTGTTTTGCATGTTTCCATTAGGCTCATCACCGTTACCTCCGTTACTTATGTATCTTTTATTGGAATTGCTTCCTTTTTCTCCACTATCTTCGTTATCTTTTATATCCTCAAAGTCTCTATTCTCCTGATAGCTATTATAATTTTCTACAATATTTTTACCCTTGTTACATTCTGCATTTTTGTTTGATTCATGAGAATCATCTTCGTCAGACAACAGGCGAATAACAACATCTTCTGGTGGTCGTTGTAATATTTCAAACAACATTCCAGTCATTTCTTCAGAGATTTTAGCTGGTGGTTTATTTATATAGAGCACAATGGAAGGTTCTTGGTATGACTTTTCAAAGGTAATTCCAATTCCAATTATATTTTTAGGGAGAATATCGAAAATTTCTTTTTCGTGTGACTGCAATAGATTTAGTAGATCTATTTCAGCTTGTCTAGCCCCTTCTACTTCGCATTTAACCTGTAAACCTGGTATCTCGACTTTTTGCTGCCCATTTATCATATAATCACAAATAATATTTAAATTCTGGCTCAAAGGATTTAGTTCTGCAGAGAAATTGTATACTTGAGCAGAAGAAAATTGAGATTTCAAAGCTAAAAGGGCTCTCGATGGATCTAATTCTAACAAATTACAATTCAACATTTCTTCATTTTTGTTTATACATGTACCTCAAAATTATATACTGCAATTACCTGAATAGTCTAATGAGGGTTTTCTCCGATTGTTGGAATCCTCAAAATCCTCTATAGAAATTGAACTTTGACAATCATCATTATTAGCCTTTTCTCTATTCTGTATAATTTTTTTGTAATATTGAATGTTAGTGCATTAAAAATAATAAATACAGTAAAAGAAAAACAAACAGAAAAGGAAGTAAAACTTTAGGGTCACCAAAAAATCATCTATATATTTAATTTGATGTTTTAATATTTCAGTGTTACTGTAGCAAAACATTACAAGCACAATGCAAACAATACCTTTCTCTCTGCTTGATGTGGAATTTTGAGGTACGGAATTGGGTAGATCCAATAAGTTAGTTTCCACTTGTGTAGAAATGTAAGGCACGTTAGGTTGGACTTCATGATAAAAATTAAAGAAACATAGTATTAGCTAATATCCTGACTCTCAATACAAAATAACGTTTATTCTCCAATACCTTAATAATAACATATCAATTTATTTGTCAATATAATTTGAATATTTTTGGGTCTCACCGTTTTTCTCTTTTTCTGATCTCAAAACCGAACGAGTTTTCTTTAGGACTCGAGAAAGATCTTGGGCTAAGTTAGATGAAGTCAGTTAATTCCTTTTTTTTAGAATCGCGAAATTCGTAACTTACGTAATTTGCTTGGTGAATTATTCTTAATTTGTTTAAGTCGATTGATCAAATCTTCCAATTCCTCGTCTTCTGTTCCATTCTATAAAAAAGTTTTTATAAGTTTGGATGTCGGAATCCAGTTTTAATTTTATTTATTATTTTTTAATCCATTTTTAAAAAAGTAACAAATAGAAGAATGAGTGCAACAATTACCAGAAAATTATACTTGCTTTAATAAAAATCTTGAGTATCGAAAGTGTTAGCTATGATTCATACAATACCTCTTTTCCATACATCATGTAAATTTATATTCTTCAGGCAATCATTTATTTGTTTCGCTGTGGGTCGTTTGGATTGTTCGTATTGCCAACATTTTTGATAAAGATCCATATAGGACCTTGGTGTCCCGAGTATTGCTTTTTCTCGATAATTAGTCATATTAATTAATTGTTTCATTAAATTGACGGTTTTTTCGCCTTTGAATGGTTCCCTACCGCTACTAGAAACTTCCCACATTACCACCCCGAAACTATAGATGTCCGAGCTCTTGTTATGGCGTTTTCCCAATAAAACGTGAGGATCTACAAATGCCATTTTTTCAAATTGTTTTTTAAATCCAGATCCACTGCCATGAGTTAGAACCTTGGATGACCCGAAATCGGATATAAATATACGTATTTCTTCGGAATCGGATTGTTGAACTAATATGTTTTTTGTGTTCTAAAATAACTTAAACGGTTAAATAACAAAGGGAAAATTATTTATATTAATCATTTAATTTACCAAGTCACGGTGCAATATCTCCATAGAGTGTAAGAAACAAAGGCCATTTGAAATTTGACAAACAATTTCAATTTTTTTTTTCCAGTTCATTTTTTCCCCATAACTTTTCATGTAATCACGTAGATCATCTCTTGCATATTCGAGAACAAGCTTGTAGATTTTTTCTAATAACAATTATATAATATTATGTGTAAGAAATTGCACAGACAAGTTATGTTTTTAATAATAACGGATATTTACCCTTTCCGAAATAACTAAAGTGAAATAAACATTGGTGTATTTAGATAAGAATAACGAATAGCCTAAAAAGATAAGAATAAATGATAAAATCAAACCTACCTTATTCCATAAAATCTAATAATATTATCGTAACCTTCTCTCTTAATTTTGTCAACTTCTTCTTCCGGGTTGTAAATTTCCTTGTATACCTTTAACTAATACATAATCATAATTTAATGAACATTATAGCATGATAAACAACGCATATAACGCCTGTAAATTTATTATTTATTACCTCGCGAACAAGACTTTCATTCAACAAAAATTCAGTTGTATGTTTCAGAACTACTATCTGATTTTTGGTATTCCAACGATAAAGTCCTATTAAACCATAACTCCCGTCAGCATAGACGTTCTTAATAAATTCAAATTCGGAACTATCTATCGATTTTAGTTCCCTATCACTTATTAAGGATCTAATCCATTCTATACTCGACTCAGAAATAAGAGTTGTGCTTTTATTTTCTAGTTCAAGTTGTCGCACCTCACACATGTTGAGTAAAATGTAGACTGACAATTTAGCAAAAGTATTTTACGGTATAAGAATACTTCGGATTAAGGACCGAGTTATACATTTATTGTCATACGATTTTCTAATTGGCTTGCCTATTTTATTTTTGTATCATATTTTTAAGTCATACAGTACTGTAATACTATATACTTATGTGTGTAATATTACTGTACAGATGGATCGTACAAAATTGAGTTATTTTTATATTTTTATTTGGTACTTTATCTATTTAGTCATTGAATCAATAGTAGACAATTTATCAAATGAAAAATTACCCCACATCATAGTAACTCTTCTGAATTAAATTTACTAAATGTTTTATTCGTGAATTCTCAATTAAACTAAATCTAATAATTTTAATTACCCCATTATCTTGAATTCCAGTTCAGACTTGACTTTATTAACAGTTCATACTGTCAGAAAATAAAATGCGATGTGAATCCCATCATGTGACCGTTCTTCGCCAAAGTGCCGCGAGGGACTCATTTTGATGGAGGTACACAAAGTATTGTGATAGAAAATTATGTAATAAAGAAGCATTGTAACAAGCGATTGATTAATTAGTGATTGTGATTAAATATTATGAAACAGAAAAAATTATGAAAAAGTCTTAGGTAATCAACTTTTGTCATACTTTTAATAGTTATAGTTGTCTTGAATTATACATGTTGTTAAAATTCGTAGATCTTTGATGCAATTGACACAATTAATTGAGTCACTATTAAAACATATAAATAATTGAGTCAGGATGTAATTATTTTTGAGTATTTTCAGAATTGAGTCAATAGCAAATAATTTATATCACATACAGTATATATCTTGAATCATGTACTGTAAATAAAAAAGCAAATGAAAATGTATAGATAATAAAAAAAAGACAATAAAATATTAAGTTTATTTTACTTAATCAAACATAAACATGCCTTGTTATTTTTAATTACTTGGTTTATACAAAACTATTCCTCACTTTTGATAATCAAATAAATCATAATCTTTATTAATTTTTAATTTTTTCATTAATATTCCATCTTTTATTAATATTTTAATAAATATAAAATTAATAGTACTGTTATTTCTAAATTAACATTAAAATCACAATCTCTTAATATTGTTATTAATAAATTTTTTAAATTAAAAAGAATTTCTATTTATTAAATATAGTATATCACAAAAGTATATGACCCCTCTTAACCATTTATAGATTGCACATGACACTCTGATATTTTCAAGTAATAAAGAGTATATGAATTCTGATCATATATACATTTTTGAAATAAAGAAATTTTTGTATCAAGTTTTATATGATAGCTGATTTTCATATTACAAAAATAATTCTTCCTGTATATAGGGAATATGAAATTGTTTTTTATATTTACAGTATATCTGAATAATACAAAGCTTAGGCTTGAAGTTATAGAAAATTACATTATTGTAATAAATCTATAATAAGTTATTAGATTTAAAAATGAAAAGAAACAAAAGATCTGAGTAATAAAAAAAACTTAGCAAAAATTGTATTACAATTGCAAAACAAGATTTTAAAACTATAAGATTGATAAAAAAAAAAACTTATATGACTGTTTTAATATTAAAAAAACAAAGATTGATTTCAACATATAGTTTCTCCAATAAATAAAGGACCAATTAAAAATTATTATAATTAAATAGAAATAGTTATCATATATTAAACTTTTATTTTATTAATAAAACAACTTTTATATATTAAGTAAACTTGTTTCTCATAATGAATTTTATATATGGTCAAATTTTTATTAAAGTTGAACAAACTTTTATTATTACATTTAATAATTTTTTTCTGAACAAAAATTTTTTGATTTTTTAGTTTTTTATAAATACTGTTTTAATAAGCAATTTTATATTAATAAATTTTGTTTAAAGTATTTAAATATAAAGTTTCATAAATTTTAATTTAAAATTTAAAGTTTTTTTTAATAAAATATACAGTTTTTTAAAATAACAAAATATTAAATTTTTATATTTAATTATAATTATGAATTGATTTTAATTAATTACTAATAGTACTCTTTCCCGTACACAACATTTTTCCTAAAAATTTCCTTTTATAGTAACTTTCAAAATTAGAGAAAATATTTCTTTCGCTCTCCAATACTCACAAGTCCTCTACACCTCTTTAACTTTCAACACCAAAAACCTTAAGGAACTAAAGAAGCACACAGGTGCATTGAGATAAAACCTTTGGTCAGGAGTAAGCAAGCTTGGGGAACTTGCTTTTCTCTTGAATTGCATAAGGAAAGGCTCGTGGCAGTTGCTTTTTTACAAGTTTTCCTTAAGGTTTTTCCCATTTACATTTCTTATTAATACATTACTTATTAATACACAAACACTTTTAAATGTTCATGTTCTTGACTTGGAGAACTTTATTTTATTCCAAAACACAAACTTTCACATCAACTTTGTCTATATCACTAATCTTGGAAACCATTGGTATATACAAAAAACAACTTCTATCATCACCCAACACATTTTACTGCGCCACAAAAAATCAAAAATTCTTGCTTAAAAACTTTTTTTCCAAAAAACCATAATCAGTTTGCCCCCGGCAACTGATCAACATCCTACCTTCAACCAATCACACATTATCAAATATTCAAACACATCCATAATACCTGCCAAAGATCAATGTAAACAACACCAAAAATGGAAATCTGTTTAACCACATGATCTTATTCTATTAATAAACACCAAAACAATAAGCACATTCCATCAATCATCAATTCAAAAACAACAACACGGCTCTAACTTGCAAATCAATAACTACTACATCTAAATCTATCATACTTAACCAACCACTCAACCAATTAATTACTACTACCATGAACTATAAACTGCCAAGGATATATGTTATTATCACAAGTATATATTTTGGACAGTAGCCTGGCCAATCGACACAGTATATTTTTCAGTATACTCAAATAGAATGGAACTACCAGAGCGGCGTGCTGAATAAGCATCCTTAATTATATAATTAATGTTACTTTCATATATTCAAATAATCATCCAACCAATCAACCACCACCACCACCACATACCAGCAACTATCAAGAAGACATGTTATTATTGCTACTATATACTCCGGACAGTAGCCTGGCCAATCGATATAGTATATTCTTCAGTATACTTAAACAGAATGGAACTATTAGAGTGGCACACTGAATAGGCATCCTTAGTTATATAACTAGTTTTATTACATTTCTTACTTGTATAGCACTGAACATATAATTTTTTTTCTTTTTTTTCTTTCAATTGTCTTCTACTTTCCATTTAATTTACGTCCAACAAAAAATTCTGAGTAAGTAAGCATAACTGCTACTCAACTATATTTAGCATATATAATATTGTTTTAAAAATTTCTTTTCGATATTAGCTAGATATAGAAGTGTATGCAGGCTAGTATTTAACTTGTATGCTTTTGCATTCAAGAGATGTTGTTTCTTTCACTATGTATATCTATTAATATACAAATAAATAAAGAAATGATGTTTACCTACTGGAAAAAAAAAATAAATAAATAAATAAAATTTTCATATTTATATAAGTTCAAATTATTATACTAGTCCAAATTAGATTATTCAGTTGCCAAATTTCAATTAATTAAATTTAAATTTATTAATAGAAGTTTATACGGAAGTTTTGTTATTTGATCTAATTTATGCCATTTAGCATTTTAAAAATACATAATAATTTAGCAAAAAATATATATAACATTTGGTAAAAATAATTATTCAGCAATAAAAATATTTGACAATAAAATCATTTAGCAATAAAATTATTTGACAATAAAATCATTCAACAAAAAAATATTTTTAGTTAAAAATTATTTAGTAATAAAGTTATAATATTTTTTAATAAAAATTATTCTTTAAATCATAGACATTTTTTTTATATTATTTAAAAATTTTAACCAAAAAGTTATTTTTTATTTATTTTTTTAAATAATCAAAATATTTTTCTAAAAATTTATATAATATTGGTTTTAATTATATATTATCTATTGA